CACTGGACAGAAAATCGGTGGGTGAAACATTAACTAACGCGCCTACTGTCGGGGGAATCGTCTGTCTTTGGGGGCGGCAACGCCTGGCCCAGTTGCTCGCCGCCGCCACTCCGCCTGTGGGCCTTGGACCCTTCTCTCCCCGGGACCCGCCTGTCCGCCTTGGATCCTTCTCTCCGCCTGGGACCCGCCTGTCCGTCTGGGACCCGCCTGTCCGCCTGGGACCGCCTGTCCGCCTGGGACCCGCCTGTCCGCCTGAGACCCGCTTGTCCGTCTGGGATCCGCCTGCCGGCCAGGCCGAACCGGCGCCAGTCAGTGACGCCCATCATGCTCCCAGTCCACGGCAGCTGTGGGCTCACCGGCACGAAACCAATTGGTGATCGATTCACCGCTAAGCGCGTGTCGCGGCCGCCGGTCGATGCCTTCTCGTAACATAATGCGGAGCGTGGCGCGACGAGGCGCGCTGATCAGCGGGCCGCCGCCGCCACCGCCGCCGTCGTCGTCGGTCGCGCTCGTCGGCCTTTGTCCGGCCCGGGTCAGTCACGCGCGCGCGGGGCCAATGTCTAATCAGGGCTGACGAGGGCCAGTCACGTCCGCCGGGGGAAGCCCCGGCCTGTTGTGAGGACCCCACCAAACCTTCCACTCATGGGCGCTGAGTTCCGGGGGCGCACGTCTCGCTGAACCTGGCTTGCGGTTTCGCGTATGGGAACATCTCATTGACGGCCGCGGTCGTTGAATACGCCTACGCATCTGTCGGCATTCACTACAGGTCTTTGAGGTAAGTCCCCAGGGGGCCGACTGGCGGGACATCGGCTGAATGGTGAGAGACGCGCAAGCCGGTCACCTCGGGGCGTGCCACATCAGTGGCCATGCGCTGCCACAGGTCGCACCGTTACGAGGGTCGCAGTGGTGCCCTAGTATCATTTTACTGCGCGTTGCCTTAACAGTCAAAGTGAACAACAGAATATCTCTGCATGTATGCCAGGGCCAGACATTCACTGCCATCCAGGCTCTGCTGCTGATCAGGGGACCCCCTGAGTCGATAAGACCTGCATGTTTGGTCAGATACACCATTACGAACAGTCAGGATCGTGGTCGGTATGGGCCTGAGGGCCCATTTCCCAGCAGGGGATAGAAGTATGAGCCAGTGATTTGCGTCGTTTGGGGCCCCAGTGTCTTTCGAGGCCCACAACGCCTAACGGGGGGTCCTGTGTCGGCAAGAGGCCCGAGTCGGCCAGAGGGCAACGTAAGAGGAGGCCAAACTGGCCTGAAGGGCCCACCGGGACCGGCGATCAAGGGCTCGATTGGAGGGCTTTGGGGCACACAGTGCTGGTCTGGGTCATATTCAGGGGCTCCGGTCTGCAGGGACGTGTCCTCAAATGACAGTCAGAGAGCGCTTTACGCCGATCGGGGGCCTCTGAGTCGATGTTGGGCCTAAGAATCGGTCAGGCACCACCAGTACCGCACAATCACTGTGTTGACTTGAGCCTGAGGGCCTACTTCCAGATCAGCCAAATAGCCCAGGCCGGCGATTTACACTGGTCCGGGGCCCGGTACCGGCCAGGGGGCCCGCAGTGCCTAACAGGGGATCCTGTGTTCGCAAGGGGCATGGCGCCGACCAAGGGTAGTGTTTGATGAGGCCCGAAGAGAGACCCGGGCGACCCAGCAGAACCGACGATTAAGGATTCGGTTAAAGGGCATAAGGGCCCGAAGAACTGGCTGCATGTCACAAGAATCGTGGCCTTCAGGGACGTGAACATAAGTATCAGTCAGAGGTCCTCTTGCACTATATTGAGGACCTCCTGAGACAATGCGGGGTGTCTCGGTCGGCCAGAGACCACGAGCACCGAACAGATGGTTTCCTGTCAATCTAAACGCTGGAGCCCATTTCCCAAGGAGGAGCAAGGCCGGCGGCCACGAGGCTTGCATTGGTCAGAGTCCCTGAAACAATGGCTGGGGCCCCTGTGTCGATCGAGGGCCCACAGTGCCTAACAGGGGGTCACGTGTTGGCTAGTGGCCTCGAGCCGGCCACAGGCTTTGTTTGAGGAGATCCGAGGAGGAGACAAAGTTCCCGCCTGGGTCGAAGATGAAGGGTCCGATTGGAAACCCGAAAGACCCGAGTGGCTGGCTGTATGTCACCATTTTGTATCCCCGTTCGTAGGGCCGTAATCTCAAATGTCAGTTAGCAGGTATCTTGTGCCGACTGGGGACCCCCTGAGACAGAACGTTCCTTTATTCCGGCCAGAGATTACCAACACCGAACAGTCGGCTCCGTGTCGGTCTGAGCTCTTGGGGCTCATTTCCCAAATAGAGGCTAGGCCGGGTCCGCGATTTGCAACGGTCGGGGCTCTTGCAACAATGCGGGCTCCTGTATCCGTCAGGGTCCCAGCGCCGAACAGGGTGTCCTGTATCAGCAAGAGCCATCGGGTCGGTTAGGGAACCCTTTTCTTAACAGGGCCGGGGACGGGACCCCGAATGACAGAGGACCTCTGGCGTTGGTCAGGGCCCTCTGGCAAAGCAAGGAAACATTATAACCTATGATAAGTGTCCACATTAGGACAATGGAAGGGTCCTGTGCCATCCAAGGCCCCCAGCACCGAACGACAGGCCTTCCAATCCAAATTCCAGCATGGACCCGTTAAACCAAACTGGAGTCTATGCGCCAATCGTTGGACTACCTGTGGCAACATCAGATACGTTTTTTAGTCAATGAGGGTTCTTGCGCTGATCCGGGACCAATTGCGCGGATCAAAAGGCCTTCCGCGCCAGGAAGGGACCGGTGCGATATGATGCATCCGTCTAAAGGCCTCCGGATCGACTAGGGGTTCACGCCCCGAGTCGCCAGAATCGCAGCCGGAAGACGCCCGGCGGTGGAACAGAATAGCCCTTCAGCTCCTGACCGGAAAAATAATGTGCCGCCTAGTGTTCTACTCAAGAGGCCCCATGCGCATAAATAAATCAGGGTCTCATTAGTTCCGAAAAGAGAGGGTCGAAGTTAGTTTTGAAAACGAACGACGCCATCTCATGCTTATCTCAGAACACTCATTATTTTCAGGATTAATTAGTGGAACAAATTACATCAAGGTCTGAGTATGCGCTCCCAAAACCTCGGAAGCAGCGCCTAGGCTGCAGAGTCTGTAAAACCGAACGGCGCTGGTCGCTGCAAGTAACACCACGCACCCCGCGCGAGACGACATACGGAGACTACGGAGGCCTACGGAGGCTACAAGGTCTGGCGTCGTGGTTTTTGTTACTAAGATTTCCGAGCGGGTACGTTCAAAACAACGTACATGATTTGCATCACTTATCGCTTCTTACTAAACGGTGAGCATTTGCAAACAAAGATGGCTTGACCAAGTTGATACGAAATGTTAACCCATTCTGATCTGCAGTCCACATTCGCGGGGTCCCTAATATCTCTGTTGAGCCAAGATGCAAATAATGACGAACCTTATTACTTCTACCGGTTTAGAAAGAGCCCCCTGATCATTGTAAAATGGAGGGCTGCGGCGATTTATGTGATGCAGTCGCTTAACCGTTAATGCATGATTTCTTCAGTTCATTGACTGTCAAATTCACTCAGAATTTATTTCGCGGTATTTGAAGTCAATAAAAAGCACGTCCACATCAACAAATGGATCGTACCCGGCGATTTGGGCGGAGGGGGGGGGGGCTTAAGGGTCCCTTTGTCAACCCTGTGCCCCCCCCCCCCCCTCTCGCCAAGGATCTGGCTGCGCGACGGGCTGGCCGCTTTACGACAGCCTTGTGATGATGATGATTTGGGGTTTCAGGGCGCATCGACTGCTGTAGGTTGTGCTGCGCCCATTTTGACGACAGCCTTAAGTGAGATCCATTTTTGAAAGTCGAGCGTGCGTAGGTATGCTTCGTTGGAAGGCGATTTAGCTTCAACAATTTGCGTCCGCTGCAGCTATAGCAAAAGCAGGCCTTCAACAGTTTCTCACGGTGCACGTGAGCACCAGGTGGCG